TTTACTTAAGATCTAAGACCCTGATCTTCTGATTCCTTTGCTTCTACACAGTATCCTAACAATGACTTTTGGTTAGTGCATTTTGTTCCATGTATCACTGCTTCAGAGTTAATTTTTTTAAGCTCTATTCTTCTTTTCTAGGTTTTTTTTTAATTGAATGTAAATGCCAATCAAGATACATTGAAATAAGGTAAGAAATTCAGAAAAAAACAACTTTGGTTTGCACTTACATGTTTTATTCCACCATGATCATTGATTACATGAAAAAGAGGATCTTTAAATCAAAATCAAAGGCCAAAGTAATTATATTTTAAGAATACTCAGGGCATAATGAAGTGTTGATAGACTAGGACCCAAGAAGCAGTGATAATGATTCAAATCCAGAAGACTTGGATGATACAATGGGCAATTTTGAATAAATCTTAAGTAATTTTGTACCACTATTTCCCCATCTCTAAAATGGGGATATTTTCTGGTTCCCTCTCTGCTAGGATATAACAGCTATTATAATGTACTTTTCAGTACTACAGGGTCACGTCACCTTTTGTATGCTATTTTACTTCCTAAATCTGGAACTTTCAGTGAAGTCTTATTTCTGTGGTCCACCCCCTGCTGGGCTTCTGTAGAAATTATGGAGTATTAGTTTATGATTTATATATTAGTATTGTTTTTTTGTTTTTTTTGTTTTTGAGACGGAGTCTCGCTCTGTCAATTTATATATTAGTATTGTTTTTAATTGTCCCATGTGTTATTTGCACTAGCAGCTGGAGGATAGAAAACATATTTGTATACCTGGAGTCTTGAGCATGGGTAGGAAATAACTAATTATTGGTTGGTAAGTAAAACTTTGGATCTCATAAACATGGTAGAAGTGTAAATTAGGGAATCAGGGTCTTAGATCTTAAGTAAAATCCTTTCAACGTTGACTAGATTGTACTATCCAATCTAGAAGAGTAAGAATTTAGTGACTACATAAGTCAAAACAGTCGTCGTAGGTAGAATAAACAAGAAGCCTTCAAATGTAAGTTTGTAAAATTACTCGTTCTCTGAGGTAGCATTTGTAAAAATTCCAAATGTGGATAACACGCTGCAATTATGAAAATTATTATTGAGGAAGAAGGTCTGAGTTCAAATTTTGATGTTTATTATTTTTATGGCTGCAAAGCATAATGTATTTAAGACAACTTTGGGTTCTTTTGAATAAATACTGGTGTTCACAAGTAATATTTTGAGGGTCACTTATTAACTTTGCTTTGAGAACAAGCAAAGCCCCATCTCATTTTTCCTCTCTCAGTATGTGGTACTACCAGCCACTCATTTTGCTCACATCTGAAACTTAGGAGTTATCTAGAACGCCTCCCTAGTTTTGAACAGCATATTCACTGAGTTCTGTTGTTTCTACTTTCTTAATCTGAAATTCATCTACTTCTCTCCGTTCGCCTCACTAAAAGTCTCTTCTAGGCCATTTCATCATCCATTGCCTCCATTACTCCAACAACCACCTAATTTGTCACAATGCCTCCAATCTTGCCCTCTTCCCATCCACAGAACACTCAGAGCAATATTTTTGCCACACAATTCTGTTGGGCATGTAAATTCTTTCAGTGGCCCTGCAAAATCTGAGCTTTTTAAGGAATGCCTTTGCTCTACAAATGTGACCTTTGCTTACCTTTTTAAACTACGTTCTTGTCACTCTCAAGCCATATTAAAGAATTCACAGTTGCCTGAATGCATATCCTGTCATCTCTAACCCTTTATACAAACTGTATCTTCTGCCTTCTGACACACTTAAAGTGGTTTTCCTCACTTTAACTGGCTCCCACTTGTTCTGTAAGATTTAGCTTTAATATCTCCTCTATAAGAACTTGCATATAGTCACTAGCCCAAGGCTTGGAAAACACCATGGCCCATGAACTATGAGTGCTTTTTACATTTGTAAAGGATTGTAAAAATACGTATGCAATGGACGTCATTTGTGTTTCACAAAGCCTAAAACATTTACTCTTTAATCCTTCACAGAAACATTTACCAACCTTTGCACTAGATTTATATGCTTTGTAAGATAAGGTACTGTGCTTTATTCATTTAGTTAACTTCCAGGTAGGTGCCTGGCATTAAACCAATTTATCCAGTCTTTAATTAAATGAATTTAATATTCTTAAATTCTGTCTTAGAAAATAAGACACTCAGGTGAAGCAGTTTATGAAAATTCAGATGAGTAGTGAATAACTTATCTGCTTTGGGGGAGAAAAACACAACAAATTAGATACTTGCAGGATTACGCTTTAATTAATTTGAATACAAGGCACAGGTTTCCAGGTGTACGTAAATATGTCTCCATTTTACGACTGCTTTTTGCTTCTTTAGTCTCTTAATCCTTTTGGACCGGGATAAGAGAGTATTTGAAATTTCTTATTAAAGCAATAACTTCCTTAATAGGGCTTTAGTCTTTTTGCTTTTTTTTTTTTTTTAAGAGCTGATCATCTGAATTCCTAGTACTTGCAAGTACATTTTTTTTTTTCCTTTCTGTCCACCTACCGTTAGGTGGTTCCTAGATCCTGGCAAATTGTCTATGGTTAAATGATGCTTTTAATTTCTGTGTCAACACAGACCCTCTTTGTTGGTGTCTCCAAATTAGTATTCTCTTCCTCTATTATGTCATTACAGTCCCTTTTGGCTTTTGTTTCTTCCTCATGGAATAAATGTGGGTGCTCAATTCGTCCCCTACGTACAAAATGCTGAATCCGGGATTCCAATCCTTGGCATTTAGGACGGTCCATGAGGGGCTTATATGTGCGCATCTTCACTCCTTCTACAAAGGCACTGGTCTGCTTTATGACAGAGGGCTTAACATTTCCCCATTCTGTCATTCTATCCATCTTTGGTCCAATTCCACATGGTACTGCAACAGAGTCCAGTCCTTGTAGCATACTATACAACATGTGAGTTTTGACAGCATGATTAGCCCACAGTTGTTGTAGGTGGGTAATATTGAACTCCTGAGCCTCCTGGTCATAGATCCACTTGACATTTTCAAACTTACAGTCATATAAGACTAGAGGAAATTCTACAGCCATACTAGAGAAAAAGAGAAAAGAAAAAGTTTGAGAATACATAGCAGCCATCTAACAGTTCTTTAAAATCTAAGGGTTAGTTGCATTAAGGGAGCCGGGTAGGAGGTCACCGTTGATGTTAATATTGACTAATAGCTGAGAAAATATCTCACCATCCCTAACCTTGAACACCTTTATTACAATAATGAAAAATGCAACAAATCAGACTAACCTGATCTATGTTAGGTAAATGTCAGTGCTAACAAGACATGGCTCCATCATACTGCTATAAAATTAAAAACAGCTGGTATTTTTTCCAAATTTGTTAATAGCATTGCAATTTTGTATAGTATGGGTAAAATTATTGGTATCTATCTCAGCCTGTTCTCAAAATAAAAATCTTCACTATTCTTTCTTTCCTACCGTTTCAGAAATATGAAATTAGGAAAAATTCAGAAGTAGAGTAGGATGACTACTCAGTAATATAAAACAAGCAAGATTTAATATGAATAGTTTGTTCATTTTAATTTTACCACATCCTAACAATAATACCTCAACATAAATTCAGAAACAACAAAGATGTAGAAATTAATGTCCTTTTACTTAAGGAGCCTGGTCAAAACACCTGTCTCTTTACTCATGGGATAGAACAATGAGAGGAAATTAGAATATACTGCTCTCTCTTACGTGTTCGTAACATTCTACAATTCCGATTAAAGCTTCATGAAGGCAGAATCAGTGACCATTATTTAGATAGTTACGGGGGAGAGGAGGATATGCTATTTTTTTCTTTTTTGTTTTTGTTTTTGTTTTTGAGACAGTCTCCCTCTGTCACCCAGGCTGGAATGCAGTGGTCCAATCTCAGCTCAGTGCAACCTCCGCCTCCTGGCTTCAAGTTATTCTTTGCCTCAGCCTCCTGAGTAGCTGGGACTACAGCCATGCGCCATTTGTTTTTTGTTTTTAACTCACCTATATTGAGGCTTCTGGGGATTTTTCTCTATATTCAGCAGCTCATCAATAATCTCTGGCTTCTCCATTCCTTGGCCAATCAGAAAGAGGATAGCCATCATACATCGGACTTGATGATAAAGGAATGCCTGGCCAGTCACTTCAAACTGACATAACTGGAAAGGTTCTTGCCATCTCCCCTCACCTGGGCTCTGGCCTACTAGCCGTACTTGAGCAGACAGAATAGTCCTCTGAAAATTAATCACACCATTGGCTACATCCATTTTACACAAGTTCCTGAAATCATGGGTGCCAACATACTTCTGAGCTGCATAATCCATGGCTACAATATCTAAATCAGCACGAGGGAAAAAGTAGCGGTAAGTCCGCTCAAGACAGCTGAACCTAGCACTGAAGCTTGGTTCTACAGGGGCCCAGGCCAATATACGGATGTCTGGAGGGAGTACCCGATTGAGAATGTGGGTATAACGGATCTCTTCAGCAGTAGCATTTGCTTCCTCTTTTACATTAAAGTCCTCAGAATCCCTGCCCCTTGGAAATTGAGAGCGAAGGTCAAGTGAAATCACCTGTGGAGTCAGACAAAGATACTGGGTTTTAGAGACACAAATAATCTCAGTACCCAGTGTGTATGCCTAGAATATCCTAGTATTGCTTGCTTTGAGAAACAGCGTATTGGCCCTTACCTGTCCAAAGGCACTAACTCCTTTGTCTGTTCTCCCACATCGGTGATAATTGGATGTCTGTCTGCTTTCTACCAGTCGAGTCTTACTTAGAGCCTCAAACAGTTTCTCTTCAATGGTATTATTTGTGTTTTCCTGACTAGCAAAGCCCTGGTATCCCCAGCCCATATAGGCTATTCTTAGGGCTACATGTCTTCGGCCATGAGCACTGAAATCAAATGCACGCTTAGTTTTTCCAGCTCCTGATGAATTTTTTCTAATGTTTGAGTCCTCCTTATTTTTGGCCTGTTCCGTTCTAAGTCTTTGCACCTCTTGCTCCAGTTCTTGTACTCTTTTTAGGAGTTTTTCAGTCTGGTTTCTGTCTGTGTCATCAGCCATGATACAACGGCCCCAGGAATAAAGGAATCATACAGGTCCGCCCTGTCTGAAAAGAGAGCAAAGGGATACAACAGTTTCAGTGCCAGTTCCTTTGATGATATTCCAATGGTATATAAAATTTAACGCCCAAAGAATATACTTTTGCTTTTCCAGGGATACAAGCCTTAGCTTTATTGTGGGTTGATCATCCATAGATGCTCTTTTCCATCCCTTCTGGCCAGTTCACAGACGTAAAGAACTATTATTCAGCTGTCATTATTAAGGTTTCATTAAAGCAGTCAAAATTTAGGGAGAATGTCTATAGATTTCATTTCTCTATCTTCACTGAATTGATTGAGGACTGATGTTACAAATAGTTTTTCTCTAAAACATTTCCATTTGATTTCTCATTGTATTCAATTCTCTAGTCATAAGATTTCTTTATGTGGGCTACTTATGTCTGCTCTGGGTTTCTACTGCTTTCCATTATTTCAAATAAATGACTTATATGTTCCATCATCTCATATTCGTTAGATGAATATTAGGTGGTGCAGTAGAAGCTAGCCTAACTGAAGAAGCTTACTGATGGTTGTATTTCACATTGGAAGTAGAAGCTAGAGACAAGATTTTCTCACTTTAAGCCTTTTTGATGGGAGAAAAAAAGGTAATTAAGCACACTGACCCCTTTTTTTTTTTTTTTTTTTTTTTTTTTGAGACGGAGTCTCGCTCTGCCGCCCAGGCTGGAGTGCAGTGGCCGGATCTCAGCTCACTGCAAGCTCCGCCTCCCGGGTTCACGCCATTCTCCTGCCTCAGCCTCCCGAGTAGTTGGGACTACAGGCGCCCGCCACCGCGCCCGGCTAGTTTTTTGTATTTTTTAGTAGAGACGGGGTTTCACCGTGTTAGCCAGGATGGTCTCGATCTCCTGACCTTGTGATCCGCCCGTCTCGGCCTCCCAAAGTGCTGGGATTACAGGCTTGAGCCACCGCACCCGGCGACCCCTTTTTAAAGCTGAATTAAATGCATATTAGATTTCCATACCTCTAATAGTTTAAAAAGTCAGTCTGATGTAATGTAGATGTCAGTGTGGAAATTCCTGTTATATTTCAATAATCTGAGGACAACTATACTACATCCTTAAAATTGGGATGGTCCTAGACAATCTGTGACTGATGGTTACTTTAGTTAGAGAAGACCATCTCCACATCTGTTCTAAGGCTATGTTATCTAAGTGTAGGTAGTTTAGTTTTTTACTCTGAGTTTCTGTATCTATAACATTAAAAGTTTAAACTGTAAAAAATGAAACTGAAAGTACTAGAAGAAAACATGGAATAACGTTTTTCTTAAATTCTGGAGTAGGAAAGGCATTTCTAAGCAAAACAGTCTAGAAACCCAGAAACTGTAGAAAAACAAAAGATGTGACCTAAAAGTAAAAATTTCTCCCAGCAAAAAATAAAGTCAAAAGGCAAACAACAAATTGAGAAGAAAAAAAATAAGTGATGGTGAAGTGCTATCTTCCTTAATATGTATTTCATGAATATATAAATCAGTTTTAATGAAAAAGAAAAAAATCCAGCAACTTGAGAGTCAGACGGACAAAGACCAAGCATTTCAAACAAAAAGAAAAAAGCTTATAAAAATATTTGTTAAAAAAATTTCTAAATGCTCAATTTTACTCAGCTGAAGTAAATGCAAAAGGATATGAACTATTTTTCAAGGAAGTGACTGCAAAGACAAAATTTGATAGTATACCACTTTGGAGAGGGAATAGAGAAACAAGCTCTGTTAATATATGGTCAGTACAGCTTCTTTGGAGGTAAACATTTTGGCAACAGCTCTTAAAATTGAATATACACATACCTTTTGGCCCACATCTCCCATGTCTAGAAATTTAACCCATTCATATGCTTGCACAAATAGATAAAAACTTGCAAGATATTCGTTTTAGCATCAGTAAATCTATAAACCTAAATTACAACAGTAAGGGAATGGCTGAATAAATGTATGGTATATTCATACATTGGAATTCCGCGCAACATAAAATGAAGAAGGTCGGCCTGTTCTGATATAGCTGGATAACCAAGATTATCTTTAAGGTTCAGAAGAGTTGTGTAGTGCTCTCCTTTATGGTATAAAAAAATAAATGTACATGTGAATATGGAAAATTTCTGGATAATCATAAGAAATTGCCTTTGAGAGTAAAAATTGGTGGGGGAGGGAACGTCCTTGCTTAAAATTATCATGTGCATGTATTCGTTTTTCGGTTTAAAAAGAAAAACAGTGGGGACACAGGAAATAGTGGACAGTAGATACCTATCTCAGATCCAGTCAGGAAACTAGCATTGGGTATGTGGCTGATTGATGTGGGTAGTATTTATTTATTTCAGACACTAGAATAAACAGATTTAGCTGGCAACTGAAGATGCGTTAAAATTACTAAGACAGCTGGGCGCGGTGGCTCACGCATGTACTCCCAGCACTTTGGGAAGCCGAGGCGGGTGGGGTGCCTGAGGTCAGGCATTTTGAGACCAGCCTGGCTAACATGGTAAAACCCTGTCTCTACTAAAAATTCAAAAATTGGCTGGGCATGGTGGCCCACGCATGTAGTAGTCCCACTTACGCCGGAGTCTTAGGCAGGAAAATCGCTTGAACCCGGGAGTGGAGGTTGCAGTGAGCCGAGATCGTGCCACTGTGCTCCAGCTTAGGCGGCAGCAAGTCTTCATCTCAAAAAAAAAAATTACTAAAGCATAGAAATTATATGTATGCATATATATATACACATTGTGTGTGTGAGAACACAACACTGCTTTTGTGATTTTTTTTTTTTAAATCACTCTTTTATGGTTAAAAGCGGGGACTCAGTCTGAAGCCAAACTGCTTGAGTTAGAATTTCAGCTCCACTACTTACTAGCTGAGTAACCTTGGGCAAGTTATTTAACTTCTCTGTGCCTCATGTTATTCATCTGTGAAAAGCAGATAATCCCACAGCTGAAAATTACATGAATTAATAAATGTAAAGCACATAGGACAATGGCAGGCACATAAAATACTCCCTAAGTACCTGTTACACAGTATACATTAAGCAGTATGTCCCATATCACGTAGTTTCAAGCTTTTCTTATGCCAGAACTATACTGTCCTGTTTTAGGACCTGAAGATGGCAAAACAGTAGAAAGCAGGAGTAAGAGTGGAAATGAAAGCAGGTAATAGATTGCCTAGAACTGAGTTAAGGCCCCTCTAAACTGTTCTGATACTACCCTGTATTGAATTTATGATTGCCTTAGCCATTCTTTCTCCACTTGACTGCTATAAAATAGAAGGGAATGAGCAATTTATGAGCTGGGAATTTATTATCAGAAAACTGACCAATGTTATCTCTTGCAGAAGGTCCTACAGTGTAGGGGAAGCAATGGAAGAACTTCTACCTGATAGACAAGTATGGGCTAATATGGATCCAGAAGAACGAATGTTGGCAGCTGCTACAGCTTTTACCCACATCTGTGCAGGGCAGGGTGAAGGAGATGTTAGGAGAGAAGCCCAATCTATCCAATATGATCCCTACAGTAAAGCTTCAATAGCCCCAGGAAAGCGACCTACTCTTCCTGTGCAACTACAGTACCCACATGTAGAAAGTAATGTCACTTCAGAAACAGTCTCTGAGGCCTCCCAAAGACTCCGAAAGCCAGTGATGAAGAGAAAGGTGCTGCGTAGAAAGCCAGATGGGGAAGTATTAGTAACAGATGAGTCGATTATCAGTGAATCAGAATCTGGTACAGAAAACGATCAGGGTCTCTGGGACTTAAGACAAAGGCTGATGAATGTGCAGTTCCAGGAAGACAAGGAATCTTCATTTGATATTTCACAAAAATTTAATCCACCACATGAATACCAAGGAATTTCTCAAGATCAGCTCATTTGCTCTCTACAAAGAGAAGGAATGGGCTCTCCAGCTTACGAACAAGACCTGATTGTTGCCAGCAGACCAAAGTCCTTTATTCTCCCAAAGCTGGACCAGTTAAGCCGAAACCGGGGCAAGACAGACCGGGTAGCCCGGTATTTTGAGTACAAACGGGACTGGGACTCAATACGTTTACCTGGTGAAGATCATAGGAAGGAATTACGCTGGGGTGTCCGAGAGCAGATGCTTTGTCGAGCAGAACCCCAATCCAAACCTCAGCACATATATGTCCCAAACAATTATCTAGTACCAACAGAGAAGAAAAGGTCTGCACTCCGTTGGGGTGTTCGTTGTGACCTTGCAAATGGTGTCATACCCAGGAAGCTTCCCTTCCCTCTTTCTCCTTCTTAAATCTTTTTAAACTTCTTTCACAGGATTGTTTGAGATAACCCAGCTCTTTATATCGTTCCTTTTAAATAGAAACAATTGTCTTGAAAAGCTCTTAGAAACATCTTACGGTAAGGACTTCACCTATCATTGGTCTTTCCTAGCTATATATCACATTGGTATCAGATACTTCCAAATTGCCACTCAAATCCAGCAGTTGCAAGATAAATCATCAGAAAGAACAACAGACCTGGTCTTTCTATTTTTTCAAATTAGTAAGGGCCCTTTGTGTCCTGTAACCTTTTTTACCTATCATTGTGAGTTGCTGTGCTTTAATGTGTGTTTTTTAAGTTGCTGGGCATTACACTTATCAATTAAAGTATTTTGGAAATTCATGAACTTGAACATTATTTAATGAAATACTTGCCTAAGATGATCTTGAACCTGGGCTATGATGAGAGCTCATAAGAAGGAACAAAAACCTGCCTTTTACACAGTCCTCAAGGATGGGAGAGGTTAACAACAGAGCCCTCATTACTAAAGGTATACAACAAATCCAAGTAGTTTTATTTAAATAATGCCCCAAAACAGTACCATATAACATACAGGATTCAAACTTGTTTTATTTCAGAATTACTTCAAAAATATTTTGCCTGCCAGCTGTTTTTCTGGAATACCATGCTTTTTATAATTTGCCCGAGATTTTTGTAGGAATTATGCATCACTTGGAAGACTATTCCTACTCCAGTAGAATTTCAAACTAGTAACATTTGGAATCAGATGCAAAATTAAATACCGGTATGAACCTACTTAGCCTATGCGGGTGCAGATCAAAATATGAATTCTGCTCACCTTAAATTGTACTTTATCTGTTCTTGATATTTCTAACCCAACGGGCACCATCTAAAATCTAAAAGTTGTCAGTTTTAACACCAGAGGCCAGAAGAATGATGGCACAGTTTGCTTGTTCACAGAGAAAAAGCTTTAACATAAAGGTGAATGACCTTGACCGTTACTATCTGCGAAAATCACTTTCCCTATAACATTTAAAGCCACATAATTCACATATTCACCCAGTTCTGTTTGTTAGGCATTTGTCAGGAAAAGAAGTAATCAACAACTCAGATGCATGTAGGATATACTCACCGCAAACAAGTAGAAACTGCAAACTGTCCACCAACAGTGGAATAGTAAATGTTTTTAAAGATATTAGAATATTCAATAGTCATTGGGAATCTTGGGGAAAGTAATATGGGAAGGTGCAAATTAAGTGAAATATAAACACAGGATGATCTCAGTACACACAGGGAAAGATCAAAACCTAACTCCTGAGTAGTGGGATTAAAGGTAATTTGTATTTACACCTCGGCTTTTTATGAGGTCAAAAATTACATGGTGATTTTAACATGCAAAACACTCCAATTATTTATTTGGATCTCAAAAGTCCAGTATTACCAAAGTCTCCAAAGTTAACTAGTTCATCTCCCCTGCTAATTAAAGGACTAGGCCAGAGAGTGAGTCTAGTTGGTTATAAGGCAGATTTGTGGCAAAAACAGGACTTGGTACACTACAGTGCTTTTTCCAGCACACCTTATCCTTCTTGAGGGTGAAGTGCAGTAGTTCCCAAGCAGATGTTTAAGGTAACACCTTGGCCAGGGCTGCCAAGTGACCACAAAGAGGGAATTCGTGTGTCCCCTAAGCACCAATTACAAACTAAAACAGCCATCACTAGATGTTCCATACATTGGGCCGGGCGCCGTGGCTCACGCCTGTCATCCCAAAATTTTGAGAAGCCAAGACGGAGGATCGCTCGAGACCAACCTGGGCAACAGAGCGAGACCGTCTCTACAAAAAATTAAAAACTAGCCTGCCAAGATGGCGCGCGCCTGTAGTCCCAGCTAGTCGGAGGCTGAGGTGGAAGGATCGCTTGAGCTCAGGAGGTCGAGGCTGCAGTGAGCAGTGATCACGGCACTGCACTCTGCCTGGGGGACAGTCTCAAAAAAAAAAAAAAAAAAAGGTCTAATCTCAGGAACCAGTGGGTTAACACAAATAGCATTCCTCTTGATAAACTTTATATTAATCCAAAGTGAAGAAAAGGGGGAGTACTGTCCAAAGGATTAGCAGACACGCACTATGATCACTAGAAAGCAATCGTGCTCTGTGTGTAAGGCAATCCCCAAAATAATTTGAAAATTGCTGCCACAGCCTCCCACATAATCCTGGGTTCTCAACTTCTACTGTTTTATGAGCATCCAGTTCTAAGTGGGGCAGCAGAGCACTTCTGTACTTCACAGTACAAGGACCACTGAAGCTCCCGTCACAACGGAATTAAAGACGCCCCGACTGCGGCGAGTTTCCGCCGGGATCTCCAGAAAGTACCAGGCACAAAAGAAAAATACATGGTCTTAAGCGATGTCTCATTTCCAGACACCAATGCTTTCCTGAAAAGGCCAAAGTATGTGAAAGAGGGCAAAAAGAAGACAACAGACAACCGTTCAGCAGTGTGTCCATTTGTCCCTTCCCCTGTGGAACCCAGAAAGTAACCCACCCCAAAATTCCCACACTTACTTTCCGGTAGCCGGCCGCGCTGCGTTTCCCAGACAGGAAGCTGTCGCTGTGCGTCTTCTGCGCAGGCGCCCGAGCCCTCATGGGAAGTGTAGTCCACGTTTGTGGGAAATGTAGTTCTGAGAACCGAGCTTGCTGCTAGAATCTACCTCAAGTTTTCTAGTCCAACTACCGTTTCTCCACCAACAAGGGAGAATCTGGGCCTGTGGCAGGACAGCAATAAAAGGAGGAATTCTAGTGCTACGCTAAACTAATAGAAAAAAAGGTAATTTTTCAAATGTCTGCTATCCTTATACGAAAACTAAAACATTGAAGATGCTGGCTCGATTTTGTACCTAGTTAAATGAGAAGAAAGTTACCATTGAGAGACGAAAACATTTACTATTAGAATTAAAAGCTGAAATGAATATGATAATCTCAAAACAAACGACTAGGTGCCCTGAGAGTGGCCGCACAGAGCCGGGAGCGTTGCTTCAGCACCACGGAGAGATCATGACTGCAGTTTCGTGTGTTTTTGTATTTTCGCCCCCAATTCCAGAAATGCTGATCAAAATCTCAAAATTACAATTAGAAAACTGGGGGGCGGGGGGGAGGGTGGAATTTGGTTCTTTCTTCCAAATTGAGCAGTCATTAAATCATTAGTACCAGGGATCCAGGGATCTATCCCGTATTATGCAAACGCATGTAGGACGTAGAGATTATACCGAGAGGAAATGTTTTTAACAAGAGACCACATTTCAAATAAAAGGTTTAAAAAGCCTATGTGAAACATCACAGGTATCTAGGGCAAGAACAGCAGTTAGAGCTTGAACAGCTCTGCTTCCTTTCCGCAACTGTGCCCCCGAGGTCATTCGTCATATCAAATTCATCAGATATTGTCTCCACTTTTCTAAGCAATTCGCTAACCTTTCTGACATCTTGTGATGCGAAGGCGGAAATTTCCAGGAAAATGGGCACCGGGCGTAAAGCGCGGCGGGGGGTGCGGAGAGCTCCTGCCTGGAGGGCTGTGTGCGCGGCTGGCCGCCGGGCGGAAGCGGGAACGGAGGCTGCCCCCTCCGCCCCCGGGTCCCTGCCCTTTAGTCCTGCTCTCTGCCCTCCGCCGCGCTCTCTGCCCTCCGCCGCGCTCTCTGCCCTCCGCCGCGCTCTCTGCCCTCCGCCGCGCTCTCTGCCCTCCGCCCCACGCCCCACCCCGCCCTCCAGCGCCTGCGCGCCGCACCGCGGTGGTCGCGGGCGCGGACGCGTGCCCCCCTGCGGAAGCCCATTGGCCAGTGGATAGAGCCAGCACCGCCTCGCGCCTGTGGTGGAAGCACGTGCTGGGGGCGGGAGCAGCGATCGCAGCCATGGCGTCGTTACTGTGGGGAGGCGACGCAGGGGCGGCGGAGAGCGAGCGGCTGAACAGCCACGTAACCGCCACCGAGTCGGGGGGTGCACAGCCGCGGGGGTGGAGCTCCCACTCGCAGAGGGAGATCGGCCGGGAGGGGAGGGAGAGCCCGCGAGCGTTCGAAGCGGGGCGTCAGATGCTGGAGGGGAGATGCGGGAAGGGTTTGGAAGAGGGCCACAGAGGGAGACCCCGTCCCCACCCCCACGAGAGGCAAGACCTTTGGTTAGAAAGGGCAAAAATGACGACCCCTGGAAATCCAGGGTGGGAACGCAGCTCTGGTAGTCCCAGCTGGACCCCGAGTTTTCTCCTCTGCCCATTTGCTCATTAAGCCTCAGCTTGCTTCCATCCATTTGCCAGCGCACTTTCCTAGCCTTCCTCCCCTTGTTGGTGCCGTGAGCCCCAAGTACTGCCCAACTCTAAACTAGAGGCCTAGGAAAGAGAAACTTCATGTACAGGGAATACAGAAAATCTCCAATTTTAGGATAATTCATACAGGAAACCTAACTTCGAAAGCAATCTGCTGCTACCTAATATTGCAAAGGAAGCAATACCCGGGTGTCCTTCCCTGAATCCCTCCCAGCCCCTGTGGTAGGGAAGCACTGGGCTGCTTGAGGGCTTGCATCCTAATATTGGTTGAAATTTGTGTCTCTCAATAGTTTTCAAACCTCAGCCACCCCCGGAAGAACCTTCGGGGTGTCAAGAGTACTACAGTCCGAAACATAGGTGAGTGCTGTTAGGGCAAAGCAGAGCAACCTTAGTGATTAAAAAGCATTGCTTTGCTTTCATCCCGTCCCTGCCAAGTGAGATAGGGCGAGTTCTTCAGTGTGACACTCAACACTCTCCATTACCTTCCCAATCATTTCGTCCACTCCTCCATGAAATGACTCTTCTTGCCAGTAGACACTGGAGAGTCAGGAAGAAAAAATTGAATAGTCTGCTTTACATTTCTGCTCAGCATTTGTCTTTACTTGTATTGTTTCTCCTCCATCCTTTCCAGATGGTTCTATTAATAACATCAAAGAAGATGAAGAAGATGATGTAGGTAGGAGATGAATTCATTTGCATGTATCTACTAGCATTCTGTTTCCATTTATAACTTTAATAGTGTGAGTGAATAATATAATCTCAATTGGAAAATGCCTGTCTTTGCTCCTGTTTTCTTATAGTGACTATCAGGAGACACACTAAATTAGGAAGAAGGTATATTTATTTATAGGAAGTTGAAATGGAATATGCAGGGATTGGGTTCAGAATTTCCAGCTGTCAAGGATTTGGTCTCATGGAGATGGCCATAGGCTACTTTGAAGTTAGAGGATAGTGAAGTAACAGAGCATAAGAAACTGAATCCTCATAAAGAACGGATTCTCAGTGCTATGTCATTCTTTCTGGAACCTTCTTTTAGAGGAAAAATGAGCATAGGTGCAATTGCTTGGTATGCAACCACTGAAAGAGAAAGAACAACTTATTTGTTGTCATTCAGGAAGCTTGATGTCCTCTTTTTTATTTTGGCTTTTCTAGTGGATTTGGCAGCTAATTCACTCTTAAACAAGTTAATCCGTCAGTCCTTAGTAGAATCCAGTCACCGTGTGGAAGTTTTACAGAAGGATCCCAGCTCTCCACTTTACTCAGTAAAGACATTTGAAGAGCTGCGGCTGTGAGTATTTTTACTCTTTTAATATGGGAAAAATGCTGAAAAGCACAGAACAAACGAATCTGCTTATAATAAAAACCATCAGGATCTCCTCTTTGTTTTCTGATACTGAATATTTTGTTTTTGTTTTTTGAGACAGAGTCTCACTCTGTCGCCCAGGCTGGAGTGCAGTGACATGATCTCGGCTCACTGCACCTCTGCCTGACAGGTTCAAACGATTTTCCTGCCTCAGCCTCCCAAGTAGCTGGGACTACAGGCATGCACCACCATGCCTGGTTAATTTTTGTTTTAATATTCAGTATTAAAGTGAGATTTGCACATTTCCATGCAATCAAAATATAACTCAGACCGGGTACAGTGGCTTATGCCTAAAATCCCAACACTTGGGAGGCTGAGGAGGGCGGATCACTCGAGGGTCAGGAGCTTGAGACCAGCCTGGCTGACATGGAGAAACCCCGTGTCTACTAAAAATACAAAACTTAGCCGATCATGGTGGCACGCACCTGTAGTCCCAGCTACTCAGGAAGCTGAGGCAGGAGAATCGCTTGAACCCAGGAGGCTGAGGTTGCAGCAAGCTGAGGTCACACCACTGCACTCCAGCCTGGGTGACAGAGCGAGACATTGTCTCAAAAAAAAAAAAAAAAAAAAGAAGAAGAAGAAGAAGAAAGGATGTTCTAAAGAAGAACATTAGGATACCCAAGTTGCCTGGCAAATTGAGAACATTTTTGATAGTTAAGATATTTTCATTCTGGGATAGAGAGCTAAACTAAGTACTGCCAGATTGCCCCTCTCCGTATCAGAACCCAGATTCTAATGACCCAGACATCCTACTTCACCCACTGTAGATAAGTTATAAGCTTTTACTTTCCTGATTATATTTTGTTTCAAATGGTCTTAAACTGAGTAACTTTCACAAACGGGTTTGCATTCCTTAGGGATTTATCATTTGACGCTAAAAAATGTATTTTAACAGAAAGAAAAGCGCTGAAACCTACTTATGTAAAGGGTAAAAATCCAAAATCCTAGTTCCCAGACGTTTTCTAAGTGGTAGAAAGCCTACCCATGATTTAAGACGGGCTGCCAGCCCTCTACCAATTAAGCACACACAAATGTGCATGCCATTAAAAGTTGAAGTGTTCTAGTTCATTTGATTTATCCTCGTTTTGTCATTTTTCTTAAGACCCTCAGGAAAGCAGCATTTTGAAACATTGCCTCAGAAGGATAAAGTAATATTGTGCTTTCTACTCCTAGAAAGAACTAATCTAAGAATCACCTAAATAAAAATTTATCTTTTCTGAAAATTACTGTCAAAAATGTCAATATCATTCGTGAAAAGGAACTAAACAGTAAATGTCACTTAGTTTTCTGTTTAGGCAGAAAATATAACTCTCTCAGCAAATGGATATATTCTTTTTATCCGATGAGTTTTTCCTTTTTTGCTTCGTTCAACAGAAGGTTTGGCTTAGGATATTTACCACTGTCCTTCGCCTAGACTTATGGCATAGCTTATTGTTTTAGTGGTCCAGCTCTACAGGTGTGATTGTTGATGTTTGGAAGTTGAGGTATGAATGATCTATCTCCAAATACTAGTTTTAAGCTCAGTGGCAAGTGACTTAATTTAGAAATGCACCTTTCAGGTATGTATTTCTGATGCTACTGACCAACTATAAGCTGTGTTTGATTTTTTTTTTTTTTTTTACAGAAAGGAAGAGTTACTAAAAGGAATCTATGCAATGGGATTTAATAGGCCATCCAAAATCCAAGAGATGGCTCTCCCTATGATGCTGGCACATCCGTGAGTTTCCAGGGTAGTGGTATTCTAACTTGGTTATGTTTACTTTCTTATTTTCAGTTTATGTCCACTCTCTTGTATTCAGTTTAGCCCAGTGGTCTTCTCTTTTCTGCAGACCCCAGAACCTCATAGCACAGAGCCAGTCGGGAACAGGAAAGACAGCGGCATTCGTGTTGGCAATGTTAAGCAGAGTTAATGCCTTGGAATTGTTCCCACAGGTAAGGCAAGGCTGAGGGAACACTGGGAATGCTTGCACTACCAGTGCTAATTTAGTAATAGGGGATATTCCTGTGCAATAATATGGTTACTACGGTGATAAAATATTTAGAAAAGACATAAAATCATAGAGCATTGGGCAGCAGTATGGGACAGTGATGGAGAGGACAGGCTTTAGAGTCTTGAGTAGTTTGAATCCGAACCTCCCACTTACTAACTGAATGTCTTAGGCAAGTTAGTAAATCTCAGTCTGTTAATCCTTGTCTGTAAAGATAGCATCTGTAAAGGAATGTATCATAGTTGATCTGTTCAGCCTTAAATCCTAATACCTAGCACAGTGCCTGGCTTGTAGAAACCACTCATTAAACATTGAATAAAGTCATCATGTGGATTTAATGAAGTAATTTACATTTTTAGCACAGTGCCTGGCATAAGTTAAGCATGCAGTAAGTACAGCCATCTAGCTGCAGGGCCAGAAGGTCATGTAGTCCACCTCACTTTAGCAGAGGAGGACGCTGATGCTTGGAGAGGGAAGTGTCTTTTTTCAGGTCCCCAGAGAGTGGCTGAGTCAAGACTGGCACTGGTACCCGGTTTACCATTTTCCTAGTGTAGTTTCCACTCGTGAAAAGTATCTGGTCGTCTCCCCCTATTTGCTTGACAAGCCGAGTACCCATATGCATTAAGTGCTGTGGGGAACACCAAGGCACTCTCAGTTAGCTTCCACTCTGATCAGCCAGGTCAGCTATAGGTAAGGCAAAGGAAATCTTACGCATTTAGACAAATTCAGTGAAATGTATGATTAGGGTTTGATATTATCAATAAAAATTATGTAGGGTAAGTTATGCCTGAGCACATTTTGAAAAATGTGTGTGAAAGGTGTTTTTAGCGCTTTGGCTATGTTTCCCTATCACAGATTCCTAATTGACACATGTAAGTGCATTAGGTATCACCAGTTTTTTCCATCAGCATCTTTATTCATCAGCAACCATCATTTTTATGGAGTATGGAGTAACAGAGTTTGGGGGAATATTCTGCCCATTATATATTATATTATATTATATATATCATATTATGTGTTATAAAGATATAGATAATATAAACAGATTGGATCAAGCAAGGAGTGTTCCCAAAATAGGCAGTCTTTTTTGTTTTTTTCTTTTTGTTTGTTTTTTACATGGAGTCTCACTCTGTTACCCAAGCTGGAGTACAGTGGTACAATCTTGGCTCACTGCAACCTCTGCCTCCTGGGTTCAAGTGATTCTCCTGCCTCAGCCTCCCAAGTAGCTGGGATTACAGGCGCCCACCATCACGCCTGGCTAATTTTGTTGTATTTTCAGTAGAGATGGGGTTTTGCCATTTTGGCCAGGCTAGTCTCGAACTCCTGACTTCAGGTGATCCACCCACCTCAGCCTCCCAAAGTGCTGGGATTACAGGTGTGAGCCACTGTGCTCAGCCTCAAAAATAGACTTTTAATAGCAAATGAGAGCTATGGGATAGAGCTCAAACTGTAATTTGCCTTGCATTCATTGATTCCCAGCTTCCCTACATCTCATTCTTCCCCCTCCTATGCCTCCCCGACCCCAAAAAGGGTGACTAGTAACTTGTGTTTCTAAATAACCCTTTAGAGAGGAATATGTAAAAGGTAGCTGTTTCTCCATTCCTCAGCCCCTTCCTCTTCTCATACTCAACATTCACATCAAATCTGTCAACTATTAAACTGTATCCAATTAAAAATATTTCATTCAACGAAAACCTTCAATTTCCTTTCTGTGTCTCTCCCTATACAAATGTTTCTTATAGTTGACATTTGAAAGATGCTTTTAAGAACCTTTCTCCTCCCTTCTCTCTCTACCCACAGTGCCTCTGCCTAGCTCCTACTTACGAATTGGCTCTGCAAACTGGCCGTGTGGTTGAGCAGATGGGAAAATTCTGTATGGATGTTCACGTGATGTATGCCATTCGAGGGAATCGAAGTACGTACCCGTAAGCCAGTCCTGGCTGATTTTTCAAATCCTGGCTTCACCGCTAATAAGCATTTTATATAACTTCTTGGCATTCTCATCTCTAAATGAGGGAAATAATAGCACTCATGTCACAGAGTTGTTATCAGAATTGAGATAACGTTGTTAAAGCATTGTACGCAATGCCTGGCACGTAGTAAGGACTCACTAAATGTTAGCCACATCATTTCCACATCCTGCAAGAGGATGTATAGTCCTTTGTATAGTCCTTACTTCAAGACTTGGTTGTTCTGTGCAGGACAGCTTTTATTTTTGGATTTTCATTAAACTATTATAAGCTTATCATGGGGAAAAAAACTTTAAAAGACAAAAAGATGAAAAGATAGAAGTGAAAATTGTTCTTCATTGCCCTCCAAAAACGTAATCCCACAGATCACATAGTAAACAGGCAAGCCTTTGTTTTTTGCTTTTTTTTTTTTTAGCTCATACAAGCACATACAAATGCCCATATTTATATTTGTTTTCATTGAGTGTTTACAAAAATGGGAGCACTTTTTTTCATACTGTTTGTTCCTTTGACTAGCTACCCAATATTTCATAATTTATTTAATGTAACCTATTGATGGACATTTTGGTTATTTTCTGTTTGGGGAAGTGCCATTTTTCACAGTTAAAGTTAAGATAAAGTCAGAAATTTATCCTAAAAATTCTGCAGAATCAGAAACCACAGTGACCCTCAGGGTTTCCACTTGGAAAATTATTGCAAACTGTGTTTTTGCTTATGAGCTTTATGTTGCACTGCCCTGAACTGTGACCTGTTGGAGTTGTTTGCATCTGAAGGAGTGCTTAAAACCCTTTTCTCCCCAGTTCCCAGAGGCACCGACATCACTAAACAGATTATAATTGGCACTCCTGGGACTGTCCTAGATTGGTGTTTTAAACTAAAATTGATTGATTTGACTAAGATTCGTGTGTTTGTCCTGGATGAAGCAGATGTGATGATTGACACTCAAGGATTCTCAGATCATAGTATTCGTATTCAAAGGTAATCTTCAGAGTCCTCCTCTCTTCCTCAGCCTTCTGTCCAGATGGGGAATTTCATTTGTTTACTCCTCCACATGATCTCTTTATTGCTTAACTCCTCACCACCTTCACCTCTAAAATAAATTTGGGTTTTTACATTATTTTCACCAGTTCAGGAGTCCCTCAGACTGCTATAGTTTTCCAGCTTCTTCAGTTTGCAATCTTGCCTGAGTGCTTTACTTTTGCAACACAGCTTACAGATGGACTCTATTAATATACAGTGCATCTGCACCAAATTTGCCAATATGTTCTATATTTTGGCCAAAATTCTGCAGAGGATCTGTTAAAGCCTGGTGAGAATACAATGGATAATTGAGATAGAGTAGAGGACACAGTAATGTGAGATCAGGAGGCTGGTAATCTAGTCCTGACTTTCCCTCTTAATTTGTAAAAAGCCGTGTCGTTTTCCTAGGCCTCTCTATCAGGATCACCTGAGAGATTTAAAACTACAGATTACCGGACCCAGCCTCAGACTTACTGAATGAGAGTTTCTGTAAGTGGGATTTAGGAATCGCGTATTTTTTAATGAAGTATTACATACTCAATGTTAAATTCAATTAGTATTGAAAGACTTGTAATGAAAAACAGTAACCCCTTGCTCCAACCTGAAGAGAATACTTCTTTTCTGATATTAACCTTCATACCTTTAAATAATATTTTCATACTGCTGTTTCCTGATGTGTAGTCATTGTCAACTAATTTCCCATTATAGGAAGTGGGAATTGAGTTCTTTGAAAACACCACCCATTCTACCTTTCCTATCCCCCATCACCTCTCTGTAATTATGCCATGAATTAGGTCACATTAACTGTCAGTATTGATATCATGTGACAGTGTAAGTATTGTTCACTGCTGAACCAAACAGCATATTATTATAATTACGGTTGCCCCTCTGTATCCACAAGGGATTGGTTCCTGGACCCCCTGCACATACCAAAATCTGTAGATGTTCAAGTCCCTGACGTAAAATGTTATAGTATTTACATATAACTTATACACATCTTCTTGTGTACTTTAAATCGTTTCTAGATTATTTATAATGACAAGAAAAAAGTCCGTATACATTCAGTACAAGCACAATTTTTTTCCGAATATTTTTGATCCACAGTTGTTTGAATCCACAGACGTGGAGCCCACAGATACAGATACCACTAATATAAAGGGCTGCTTTTCTTGTAAAGCTTTTTCTTCTAGAAGTAATCATTGCTTTTGCTTTTTTTTTTTCATTTAGTTAGTATCACTGTGTAAGGATCTTTAATTTTCCCATAGCTATTCTGTCATATGTGTCATATGTCTGATATCTCCAAATAGTAAAATAAAATTTAAAAATCCATCCATTTCTCGGCTGGGCACGGTGGCTCACACCTGTAATCCCAACACTTTGGGAGGCTGAGGCAGGTGGATCATAAGGCTAGGATATCGAGACCATCCTGGCTAACACGGTGAAACCCTGTCTCTACTAAAAATACAAAAAATTAGCCGGGCGTGGTGGTGGGCGCCTGTAGTCCCAGCTCCTCGGGAGGCTGAGGCAGGAGAATGGCGTGAACCCGGGAGGCGGAGCTTGCACTGAACGGAGATCGCGCCACTGCACTCCAGCCTGGGTGATGGAGTGAGACTCCATCTCAAAAAAAAAAAAAAAAAATCCATCCATTTCTCTTTTTTCCTGCCGATATTCCAAGCTCCCTCTGTCCAGCTTCAGTCTGGTGGATCTGCTGTACAGCTGTCATCATGGGATCTTTCCTTTGCTCACTTAAGTTTTAAATCTCCTATATCTTGGGTCGTTTCTCTTGGAGTACTTCCTCAGTATGCTGGAGTATATTTTCTAATGTCTTCCTGAAAAATAATATAAAAGAGATTTATTTTTCAGCCCTTACATGTCTGAAAATGTCCTTATTATACCGGTAAATTTGATCTTTTGGCTAATAGTTTGCCTGGATAGGAATCCTATGTCATTCTCTCTCTAAATTCAGAGAAATGTTGAAAACAGAAAAGTTTTTAAAAATAATTATATATATAATTAATATCCTCAGCTTCTGCTGTTGTTACTGAAAAGTTTAATGACACCCTGATCTCCAAGCTTTTATTTGTGACCTTTTTTTTTTTTTAGTCACTGTATTTTCCCCTGTTGCTCCCCTTTAATTTGTATCTAGTTCTTCCCATTCTGAATCAAGTTAGTTGTGGCTGTTCTTTCCCTCCCAAGATATATAATGCCTGCTGTCAAATAACTGGCTCTGTTTCCTTCGTCTCCATTTACCTTTGTGTGAGATTATAACTATAAAGAGCATCTAGTCTACCCCTCTTGTGACTGTGTGAGTCTGCCTCTCCTAAAGAGGAAATTGGCATGAGAAACCTCAGACCCTCCAGAATATATATCTAAACTTTGCCCTAAGCTCTACATTCTGTTTATATACTTTTCTAAATTCTTGGTGGCAAGGAGGGGCAGGACCTTGGCTATCTGCCTGGAGATACAGCTGGTCGTTGCAGGCAGCACCTCACGTGGAACGGGTGCGTGCAGCGGCTGATGGCAGTGGCATGAAGTGCTTGAAGAAGAGTGACGGGGTGGCAGCTGGGTGACAGCCTTCTCTCCTCTGTCACAGAGCTCTACCCTCCGAATGCCAAATGCTCCTCTTTTCAGCAACCTTTGAGGACTCTGTGTGGCACTTCGCTGAACGAATCATCCCTGACCCTAATGTTATCAAGTTACGCAAAGAGGAGCTTACCCTGAACAACATCCGGCAATATTACGTGTTGTGTGAGCACAGGAAAGACAAATACCAAGCTCTGTGCAACATTTATGGCAGCATCACCATTGGCCAGGCCATCATCTTCTGCCAGGTACACTCTGTGGGTGTGTCTTCATCGTGCCAGATATGTCTACAGGCAGAGGTGGGGGACGAAAACAAGCGCGCTATAGCCAGGCACGATGTTCAGCACTTCTTGTGTGTCTCCAGTTTAATCTTCAGAACAGCTCTAAATAGAAATTACCTGTATTTTATGGGTGAAACGTAAAAAGGTTAATGGAATAGGATCTTCAAAGTGATGTTAAACACGGGGCCTTCTTTCAGAGGGACTGCTTCTAACACTTCCCCATTTCAGTTTATGTTTATTGTACCTTGTACAGACACCCTTTATCCGGTGAAGGATGTTATTCATTATTAACAGCACCCCATTTTTATGTTTGCTTTTTGCCTTCTGACATTCTCATGTTCATGTGTTTTATTTTCTCACTACCCCGTAAACACTCTAAGCTTCATGAGAGCAGGGTCTCCTCTCTCTCATTCACTCCCATATCCACTGCACTAGACCAGCACCTGTCTGGCGCGTGGACAGCACCAAAAACATATTTGTAGAATAAAAGAAAGCTCTGCCACTGGCTAACCATGCAACCTTAGGCAAGTTACATAACATTTTTAAGCTTTGAGAGTTTTGTCTGTTTTCATTTTATTTATTTATTTATTTTTTATTTTTTTTGTGATGGAGTCTCACTCTGCTGCCCAGGCTGGAGTGCAATGGCGTGATCTCAGCTCACTGCAGTCTCCGCCCCCTGGGTTCAAACGATTCTCCTGCCTCAACTTCCCGAGTAGCTGAGCCTACAGGTGCCTGCCACCACACCCGGCTAATTTTTGTATTTTTTTTAGTGTAGACGGGGTTTCACCATGCTGGCCAGGCTGGTCTCGAACTTCCGACCTCAGGTAATCCACCCGCCTCGGCCTCCCAAAGTGCTGGGATTACAGGTGTGAGCCACCGCACCTGGCCTGTTTTTAATTTTTTAAATGAAACTAGGTTGCTACTTCATTAATTTGTTGTGAAAACACATGACCCTCACAGTAATGCACGTAAAGATTTTAGCCAGATGTCTGGCACATGGGAAACAAGCACTCTTAGAGTGTCTGTTGTTGCCATTGTTACATGATATCATTTTGTCATCATAGCACATGTGAGGTAGATGTAGCACATTTATCTCTGTTTCATGGGTGAGAAAGCCAGAGGTCTGACTGGTGGAGAGGATGTGGCCTTAGAAGCACAGACGGGGGGGAGGATGCCATGCCACAGTTTAAGGCCCTTGAGGACTGAGGGAGAGGTGAAACTAAACTCCTCTGCAGCCCTCTCCTACCCCCGCCCTGCATGCATGGTGTCACAAGCACAGCTAGGCTGCTCTGCTTCATCTTAGGGTGCTGTGGTGGGTTTTGCTTTTTTACATAGACTCGTCGAAACGCTAAGTGGTTGACCGTGGAGATGATACAGGATGGCCACCAGGTGTCTTTGTTGAGCGGGGAACTGACCGTGGAGCAGCGAGCTTCCATCATTCAGAGGTTTCGGGATGGGAAAGAGAAGGTTCTCATAACAACTAATGTTTGTGCTCGAGGTGTGTGTTTAAAGTCAGGTCTTGAGTTCTAATGTGCATATGATAAAATGCATTCTTTTTAAGTGTATAGTTTTGTGAGTTTCGACAAACATGCAATCATGCAGCTATCACTGTCATCAAAAAATAGAGCATCTCCATCTCCCCAGTTTCCTCACACTCCTTTTCAGCCAGTCTCCCTTCCCATCCCATGGCCCCTGGCACCTACTGATCAGATTTCTGTCTCCATATTTTTGGAGACACAGAATCAAATCATACTATATATAGCCTTTGTGTAACTTCTTCCACCTGACATAATGCTCATAATAATACTAATGAATTTCATTAGTATTATTACATGCACCAGCAGTTCATTTCCTTTTAATTACTGATAGTATTCTATTGATAGTTCATCTGTTCACCAGTTGATGGACATTTGGATTGCTTTCAGTTGGGGCTATACTTAACAAGGCAGTAATAAAAATTCATGTGTAGGTCTTTATTTAGAGATATACTTTCATTTCTCTTGGGTAAATATCTAGGAGTGGGATTGTTGGGTCCTGTGATAAGTATACATTTAGCTTTATAAGAAGCTGTAAAACTCTTCCAGTTGCCAGCAATTGCTAACGTCACTCTTAATTTTAACCATTCTAGGAGATGTATGCTGGGATCTTATTGTGGTTTTAAGTTGCATTTCTCTGATAACTAATGATGTTGAGCATCTCTGTGGAGTTTCTAATTTTAAAACTGTTGACTACTGGTGAAAAAAAAAATCCTTAGTTTTTTCAAGAGAAGGGTCTTCCTACATTCTTCATCCCTCCTAAATCATTGCTTGGACTCCATACTCAGACCACATTTCCTGTTTAATTCTTAGTTTAGCACACAGAACTGACAACCTGCCGTGCTAGGAGTAGATGCTGAGCTCTGCTCTTGGGAAGAGTATCCTGAAAAAAGGATGAGGTTCCTATCCCTTAGGAGCTCACAGCCTAGGCTCTCACCTCTCTACACTGGTGCTATTCAATAGAGCTTTCTGCAGTGATGGAGATGTTCTATTCTCTGCTCTTCAGTTGGTAGCCACTAGCCATATTGGCTCTTGAGCACTTGAAATGTGGTTTGTGTGATTGAGGAACTGAATTTTTCCACTAACCATATTGGCTCTTGAGCACTTGAAATGTGGCTAGTGTGATTGACAAACGAATTTTTAATTTTATTTAATTTAAATATAGCCACATGGTGCTAATGTTTACCATATTGGACAGCATAACTCTAGACCCTAGAGGAAGGAAGGCACAGAGAGCTCCAGGTCAAGGCACAGTGCAAGGAGCGCGAGGATCCTGACCTGGACAGCTTGTTAATGTTGAGAAGGAAGGCACAGCGGGGAGGGGAAGTGCAGAAGTCTTCCGAGGCAGCCTTCAATCTGAAAGGTTTTGCAGGGCGGGTGCGGTGGCTCACGCCTGTAATCCCAACACTTTGGGAGGCCGAGGCGGGTGGATTGCTTAAGGTCAGGAGTTCAAGACCAGCCTGACCAACATGGTGAAACTGCGTCTCCACTAAAAATACAAAAATTAGCCAGACATAGTGATGGGCACCTGTAATCCCAGCTACTCAGGAGGCTGAGACGGGAGAATCACTTGAACCTGGGAGGCAGAGGTAGCAGTGAACCAAGATCGTACCACTGCACTCCAACCTGGGTTACAGAGCGAGACTCCATCTCAAAAAGAAAAAAAAAAAGAAGAAGGAGGAGAAGAGAAAAAGAAAAGTTTTGCAGGAAGGGTAGCAGTTCAGTTGAATGAGAATTTACGTTTGTTCAGGAAATGGCCAGACCTTGACTGGAGTGTTGTATTTGTGAGTCAGGAGAGAAAGAGATGAGTCTTTAGGTGGTTTGAGGTCTTGAATTGCTTGTACTTTTCCTGTACAATTTGGGCAGTGGGTTTTGAACACAGGTGTGCTGGACATTGCTCTGGTGACCATCATAGGAGAGATGAGAGGAGTAGGGGAAGAGAGTGGTGAGAAATCAGTCTGGAAGTTGGTGTAACCACTGAGGTAAGGGCTTGAAAAGACCTGACCAGAACAGTAGCCATGAAATGGAGCAGAGCCAGAGCCCCATGATGGGTAAGCGGGTGTGAGACTACGGGGCCTGCTGGGGACTTGGGACAGCAGGAGCAGAGATGAGAGGGTGGCTCTGTGGGCTTGGCAAGGGCACCTCTCCACCACACACACACACACACACACACACACACACACACACACACATGCTTTGTGTATATTTACATTTCTGTAGCATTCTCTATGGACACTCTTATGTAGCATCAAGACATCACAGCATGCAAGCAAACTTCCTAACCAAAGTACCTGTCTCAATTACATACGCCCAGGTTGGATTTCTAAATTTTCTCTATAAATACGAATTCCCTTGGCAAACATGGTACTTGAATGACCCATGTCCTGAGGAAAGCCTTGCAGGACCCTGTGGTGTTTTTCCTCTTCTAGGGATTGATGTGAAGCAAGTCACGATTGTTGTGAACTTTGATCTCCCTGTAAAACAAGGAGAGGAGCCAGACTATGAGACCTACCTCCACCGCATAGGGCGGACAGGGCGCTTTGGGAAGAAGGGCCTTGCCTTCAACATGATTGAAGTGGATAAGCTGCCCTCGCTCATGAAAATCCAGGACCACTTTAGTAAGTAGCACCACCCTCACAATATGACCTGTAGACCTGCCGGTCTGACAGCCATGATGTGTGCTGGAGAGCTCATAAGAGTAGTGGCAGCAGAATGCATGAACTGGAAGGCCTCTACTTCACAGGACCACGGTTCTAATATGAGACAGATGATTAAATAGTGCTTGTATGGTAATTAAAAATTATTTTGATCAAGTAGAATTAATATGAGCTCAGGCTGGGTGTGGTGGCTTACACCTGTAATCCCAGCACTTTGGGAGGTCAAGGTGGTCAGATCACGAGGTCAGGAAATCCGGACCATCCTGGCCGACATGGTGAAACCCCATCTCTACTAAAAATACAAAAATTAGCTGGGCGTGGTGGTGGGCACCTGTGGTCCTAGCTGCTGGGGAGGCTGAGGCAGGAGAATCACTTGAACCCGGGAGGCAGAGGTTGCAGTGAGCTGAGGTCGCACAACTGCACTCCATCCTGGCAAAAGACCTAGACTGCATCTCAGAAAAAAAAAAAAAAAATAGAGCTCAGATTTACATGTTATAACTCATTCTGCAGTCAGAATTTCACATCTTGTGAAGGCAGAGCAGATTGTGGAGCAGATTTTCACATCTTATAAAGAAATCCCCTAAGCAAGTAGTAACATCCTTTAAGATTCTCTTCAGTTCTCTTTTACTTATGCTTTTTCCCTCCTCTTGCCCACCCTCCCAAACGGGAAAGTCCTAAATTCTGAAGTCTGTGACTTCAGCCCCCCATCTAAACAAGGCAGGCTCTGATGACGGCCTGCTGGAACTCTGGACTGGCGGATTTCTCTGATGGAAACTCCAAAGGTCCCATGGCTCAAATTGTCGCATGCCCCAAAGCCCATGGATCTGGCTGGGGAGCAGGGGAGGAGGAACACCTGCCAGGACAGTGGTACTTAACCTTTGTAGAAAGCAATAAGCGCCCTCCCCAGGGAAGTGCACACAGGCACACACATGCCATTTGGAATATAATTTTCATAGGTTGGTAGACTGACTGTAGCACATCCACCGACCTTTCAGGGAAGTAGGTTAAGTGCCCCTGTGTTAGGCTAACTGGGGAGGACAGGGTGAGGAAGATGCATTAAGGCCACTGTCGCTATGGTGAGCTCCTAAGGCCCTGGTCTCAGGAAGTAACTGCAGTAGAAGAGCCTCAGTCCCTCCCAGGCTCTCCTCACTTCCACTCTGGCCTTCTTTGCCCCAGCGTATCTAGATACATACATTTCATGGTCTGTGGCATTTGATGCTGTTTGAGTTAGTATTGGTCAGTGACTTTGACACCCTTCCTTCCTCATGTTCCTATATCAGGGCTTTCTATACAAGGTATCACTGTCTTCAGAAATCTGGATGGAATGAAGTTCCAGTTAGACCCTGATGTAAGACTGGTTCTGTTCTCTTTTGTTCTTTTAGACAGCAGTATTAAACAACTCAACGCTGAAGACATGGATGAAATTGAAAAGATTGACTATTGAAGAAAGAACTTTATTGTTTGTGCAGTATCCTAGTTTATGTGAGAACATCTCAGTGGGTTTTGAAGGTAGTTTTTTTATGTTGAGGCTTTTTCAACATGAAACTGTCACAGATGGCAAAATAAATGTCACTGTACTTAGTGTTAAGACATGAGGTCTTTTTGAAACCAAATTGATGTGAAGCTTGTGATCCTTTTGAATAAAAAAAAAGCAAGATTATTTCTTATTCTAATCTTTGTACAGGTAATATCTCAATGTGGGCTTCTGTGTGTTTTTGGATTTGGTTTTTACAATCTGAGCAGATCGTGCCTCTTGGGAGCATCTTCCTGTGTCACGAGAGGGCGGTAGAGCTTCGCTGATTTTGGAAGCTGAGCGGGTAGGAAAAAGCCCGGTGTCCTCAGACCTCATTCACAGGCGCCCTTTCCAGCCATTTATGCCTTTCTGCACTCCTCACCTTAAACTCCCCCATGCATGCACGTGCGTGTTCTTAAGTGAAAGTACAGATTAAAACTTTTAAAAAGTGAAACCATTAGGAAGAAAGACTATTTTGCTTCTTTAATGTTTCAGGGGACATACAGAATTTCAGAATATTTTTCTATTTTGCTTCTTACTGTCTTCAAATTAGAGAAGATTTCTCCCTCATCATTTATTTCATGGTCTCTAAAAGTGTGGCTTTAATATGGGCATTTCTTTTTTTTTTTCTTTGAGACGGAGTCTCGCTCTGTCACCCAGTCTGGAGTGCAGTGGCCGGATCTCAGCTCACTGCAAGCTTCGCCTCCCGGGTTTACGCCATTCTCCTGCCTCAGCCTCCCGAGTAGCTGGGACTACAGGCGATGGGCATTTCTTAAAAGCAGTTGGTGGAGGGTAAAAAAACCCCACATACCCTATTAAAGAAGTAACATTTCAGAGAGCAAAATTTTTTTTTGTTTTTAAGCATTTAAAGGTATATCTGAGAATCCTGGACATTTTCCCACAAGTCCCATTGAGATACGTTTTAATTTTTCATATTTCCTACTCAAAAGTAAAGTGTAGTGAGCTTGAGAAAATGGGGTAAATAGAGAGTCTCCCAGAAAGCTGAAGCAGATCTTGCAGCCAGAGCACCGATACCAGCTCTGTCACGGCACCAGACTGCACCAGTGGCTGCAGTGAGCGCCCCTGTCACCAGTGGGATGGTGGTTCCTGGCATATCTATTTTGATATTCCTCTTCCATGTCACCCTGCCCGTGTTTTCTCCCAGAAAGCAGGGCTCAGAAATACATAAAAATCATCACGTGGCTGGGTGCAGTGGCTCGCACCTGTAATCCTAGCACTTTGGGAGGTCAAGGCGGGCGGATCACAAGGTCAGGTGTTCAAGACCAGCCTTACCAACATGGTAAAACCCCTTCTCTACTAAAAATACAAAAATTAGCCAGGGGTGGTGGTGCGTGCCTGTAATCCCAGCTACTCAGGAGGCTGAGGCAGGAGAATCACTTGAACCTGGGAGGACGAGGTTGCAGTGAGCCGAGATCATGCCACTGCACTCCAGCCTGGGCGACAGAGTAAGACTCTGTCTCAAAAAAAGAAAAAAAAACGCTGCCTCATTTAGCAACAGATATTTATTGCGTACCCTTTATGGTAAACACCAGGGAAAAGGAGGTGAGTGAGATACAACAGCCATGTTGGAATTCAGAGCCTAATGGCAAAGACCTAGAATGAGCCAGCATGATAACAGACTGTGCAAAAGCAAGCGGGCCCAGGTCACTACTGTAGCACAGAGGAGGGACCCCAGCTTCGAGAGGAGAGGACACTCAGGATCTACTACAGGAGTGCAGGGTGTATTCAGCTGTGCCTTCTCAGCGTGGACTTCCCAGCAACTTTCTAACCTGAGTCTATGAGAGGGAGTGTTCCAGACACAGCTCATCATAATTACCTGGAGAGGCTGGGGAACAAAATACAGATTTCCTTCCACATGCAGATGAAACCAGACTCTCCGAGGGCAGAGCTCAGAAATACCCACTTCCATAAGGGAGCCGCAAGCACAGGTAGAGCAGTGGTACTGATGACGGCCGTCTCAGGGGGAGACCCTCAGGCAGAAAGGCCCTCGGGGACAAAACTTGTAAGACCTGGAACGCCTGCTGCTCGGTGTCCATCCTGGTTCTCCTTATCCTACATCTGCCCTCCTCTCTGGACTGGAAGCTGGTGATCACTCTTGTCCACTCAATACCCCTAACACAGTGCCCAGTGCATCCTAGGCGCCCAAGGAACTTTTGTCTTTATTGAGTAAATTTTTTTTCTTTTGCCACTTCCTCATTCACTAATAATTTTTTTTGAGGTTTTCCATCCTAGTTTTGAACCCCAATTATATGGCACAGGATGAATGAGCATGGTAAGTGTATCCAGATACTTTGTTCTCTTACTATTCGAGAATCGATTTGGACTTTCCACCATGCTCAGCTCAGCCTTGGGGTGTCCTAAACAAAACTTCACCACTTCCCTTTCCAGTTCAAACTCTGGGAAGATCTCCGCCATTTACCCTCACGAGTGTCCTCAGGAATTTCTGTTGGGCAGCTGTTCCCACGGGTCTGCATGCATTGAGCATTTTTCTGCATTCCCCTTTGCGCCCTCCTCGCATCCCTTTGTCTCGCCACCTAGGAGGCAGCAAAGCCATCCTGTGTCACAGCTGCATTAACACAAACTGGCTAGTTTGGTGAGTCAACAATCCAAAGGCTGTTTTCTGCAGGGTGCAGTTCCTTGTCAGAGCTGTAAGCAATTTTCCCGTCTTCCTGCATGGCTTGGCCAAGGTCATCTCTCTCAATGCCTGTCTGAGGACAAAGTAGATAAAGAGGCAAGGAAACACCAGGTGATTTCAGTGCAACTGTGAGCTGGGTTAATCAGCTGTATATTTCTTGGCACCAAAGACTAAACCAAATCCATTAAGTTGACCTTGGCCAGCTTAATACTGTTAGCATAGTGAAATTCATGATTACGTAGAGCAGGACTGTGATTTCCAGTGGGTGAGTGAACACCTCGCCTGGAACACGGCTGCTATGATGTTAGGTGCTGGATCTAAGGCAACCATTAATAATAGGAAAGGCAAATGAGTTGGTCATAGTCTGGTAGGATGTGTGACAGCTGCTTCTCAAGAGACATTATTGCTTTTGGTCATGAGAAAGTGTTGATCCTCCTCAGCAAAGCTCGGTCACCATGAAAGCTGCTGGCAGTCTCTGCACATATGACCAACAGTGGAAAATCTTAGAGGAGTGATGGGGGCGGTGGATGATGAGCAGTACCTTTCCAGACACCAGAAAGAGAGGCTGGTTTTGTCAAGCCTTGGCTTGGTTCCTGGTCCTCTGAGAGGCTCAGTCTCCATCCCTTTGATTCAAGTCAGGACCTAGATTAGGAAGAGAACCCATGCAGAGCAGTCCAGCTGTTGGGATGGGCCTGCACTTTGCTCTCTGAACCAGGGGCGTTACTCTGTTCTCACCCACATTGTACAGACAGCCCATCATGCTCAGCCTTGCAGGAGGGTCTTCAGGAGCCCAGCCATCTGGCACATACTGCTTTTCCCAAGGGAGTAACAGAAAGGTCAGATCTGCTTCAATCCTAACCCTCTCACTTCAACTCTCCATTACTTCTGGGGAATAATGATGTATATCCAAGACCCTCATATCATATTAACCCACAAACTATGAAATCATCAGTCTTGTTCTATGCTACAGGGAATCCAACTTTTTGCTCTAGAAAGAATCCAAGAGGCACTCAACCCCAACATTTTCTATACTTTCACTAATCCGTGGCTGAGAGAATTTGACGTTTTTCCCTTCTCTCTCCCTCTTTTTTTTTTTTTTCTTTTTTTTTTTTTTTGAGATGGAGTCTCACTGTGTTGCCCAGGCTGGAGTGCGGTGGCATGATCTCGGCACCTCAACCTCTGCCTCCCCGATTCAAGCAATTCTCCTGTCTCAGCCTCCAGAGTAGCTGGGGCTACAGGCACATGCCACTACGCCTGGCTTATTTTTGTATGTTTTTTAGTAGAGATGGGGTTTCACCATATTGGTCAGGCTGGTCTCAAACTCCTGACCTCAGGTGATCCACACGCCTTGGCTTCCCAAAGTGCTGAGATTACAGGCGTAAGTCACTGCGCCCAGCCTCTCCTCATTTCTGTCTGCTGACTCCTCTTCCTGTTCTGCTGCTCACATCCCCAGGTTGATGTTCTCACTCTCGGGGTTCTGCCTTATCCCTTGCCACCTTCCTGTGCCACCGGGGTCCCTCAGAAGGATGTGCCTGGACCTCCCACACCCTCCTTCGCTGCCCCTCACTGTGTTGCCTGGTGTCTGCCAGGAGAGATGCTGTTTGAGCCATTGGCTGATTTCTCTTACTGCTTTGCAAACTATCAGTTTTAAATGTGGGTGGGGCTGAAGCACCATTCTCCATTTTTAATGTGGATTTTCCATCTCCCTTTAAACATTAAACTTTTAGATTCTTCTAGCGAAATACAGAAAACACACCTGAACTGGGATGATTCTTGCCTAAGAGATGTCCCACTGTGTTTGGCAAACCCACAGCGGGTCCCACAAGCCCATGTCTGGAACTGCCTGGCCCTGCTTTACCAGTTTATCAGACTTCCACTTCTGCTGAGGTTAGAAAGAGCCAGAGGCTCTGATACAATAAAAATGAGCTCTGAAGAGGGGCTCTCTCCCTCTTGTATTCAGAAGAACTGAAAGTTTTAATAAGTCTCTAGAGAAGCATGACAACTATCTGTAGCATTTTTCTTTGGGAATTAACCTTTGCCCGTAATTATTTATATTCAGTAGAATAACCATGGGTTTCTCTATTCCAGTTTCTAGAATATAATTTTCATAAATGAGGGTGGTCTCCTATTTTGAGCTTAATATTTTTCTGTTGCTAGAAAGAATGGTACTGCCTCACTCCAGTTCCTTAAGTTTGTGATCATGGCTTGAAATCTCTGCTTTCGGTTACATTCCTCTGAATAATAGTCATGTATAATGGCCTCAGGCATGATTTAGAAGGCACAGACTGAGCAGGCCGCTTTGTGAGGTGGTGAACTCCCCATTCCTGAAAGCATTCAATCAATCAAGATGAATAGTTACTTGTAACAGATGCTGTAGTTCTGGTTCTTGAATTACCAGGAGTTGGAATAAAATGATCTCAGAGACTCTGTCCATTCTAAGATACCATGTTTCCATGACCCTACACAGAATAGCTACACAGGTGGAGGAACATGAGTCAGAGAAG